TGCTCTATGCAGATTTAGTTATTCATTCATTTATTTATTCATTTTTCAATTTTCACAGCAGCTACAAGTAAAATCATTCTCTTCTGTTATAGCAGACCATATAAGGATGTACACAGTCCTATTTTTCTCAGTTATCTTTTCAAGGAGTGTTTTGTATATAACAGGTTATTGTGTAAATTTGCCTGAAAAGAGAAGCTTTTGACTCCGGTCCAACCAGAGATGAAATCATCTGCAGTATTGCAGAGTGGTTCAGACTATTATTTATTTTTGGGATATAGATTCGTCTCCCAAGCAATTCATTTAGATTATACTATGCAGACTATTTTTATCCAGTGACCTTGGAACCAGCTCATACTGATTTTATTTATTTATTTTTTTTAACTGTGCGTCAGAATACTTCAGACTTGTGTGTGTTTGTGTGTATGTGTGGGCAGAATGGAGTAGATTATTTGTATGATAAGCAATCGCGTTTAATCAGTTCGCTCTCCAGCTCTGCAAGCAGAAATCTCAGCTAATTGAGCGCTTCACTTTGCAGACGCAGAATTCTTGGAAATTGCTCTGGGCATCAGATGGTCAATGATAGCTGGCTTCATGGTGGCATCCGTGGTGCGATCATTCAATGTTTGGCCAGCCATTGACTCCCCAAAGAAAATGAATGTATTTATGAATGCCCAACAGATGGGTCTCCATCTCTCTCTCTTTCTTTTTTTTCTTTTTCACCCTCACAAGTCATGATAGATGGCTGCATGTGTGGTGGCGCCAGCAAATGAGTAGCGACTTGAGTAATTAATGGCCCAATATCATTCTCAGTCAAACTATCATAAAAGAAATATCCTCAGGATAATGTTCAAAATGTATTCACAGGAGACAGCCATAAAGTTGATGTCCGTGATTCATATGCAAGGTGTCAGCCCCTTGCTTAGGAGAGGTCGATTGAATGGGTCAGTATGTAAAGGCTGTTAAAACGGTGTCAGCACAGAGCAAAGCTGGGACATGCTAAACCGCCTTAAAGAGGAGTTGGAGTGCTGCTCAGCTTCCTCTGCTCTTGATTACACATCCTTAAGAGATTATATATATTTTTAGAACTCATACTGATTGAGCGTTTAACTTCTTAGAATTTCAAATATTGGTGTTTCTTGAAAAATATCTGTCCCTCCTTCAGTCTGTTCTCTTACACAGTATAAACTCATTCATCAAGTCCTTCAAAGCCTGTTTTATAAGATCTGTGCATACACAGGATTTCCCCTAGGAAATCGGTCACTAGTGTTAGTATTCAATCACCCCCTGAGCCCAAACAGACAGATCTAGAGTATTTAATCTCTCAGTGTAGTAGTCACCTCACTCAGTTGTTAAATACATGACCTTTACTGTTGATGCAGTGCAACAGATCATTTTCCTTGAAGCTCAGTATCCTTCATATTATGTTTTAATTAATTTCATCTGATATACGTGGATTTTTTTTTCCTCCAGCCAAGCCTTTTTTTGCCACAATCATAAACCATCTGAGAAGGACAGATAAGGTTTATACACTCTCAAAACACCACTAAAGGCACCTCTGAGCTCAAGTTTACACTGTGCTTTTTAGGGCTGAACGATTATGGAAAATAATCTAATTGCGATTTTTTTTTTTGCCCCAATATTGCGATTGCGATGCGATATGCGATTATTTTTTAAGGTCTTTGTCTTCTGTATTATTAAACAAAGACAAGCAATACATCATATAGTATGGCCAATACTATATTACATTAATTTTAAACTGTTCTTTCCTGGAAGACAGACCTCTGTTATGATGACATGAGGTGATGCATGAATTGATGACTGACATTTTTATTTAACTTCTTCAATCACAACAGTATATTTGAACATACACAATAGTTTATTTTTAGCTTACAAACATCTGAGCATAAAGTGCTGACAAGGAACCCTGGTGTAAACATTAAAATGAAAGTCAGTACAATGTGCAGATTGCAGAAATATACATAAACAAAATCAGTGGCTTTACCACACTCAGTTTTTCGACATCTGTGAACTACTAGACAGTCATTAAATTAAAAAATAATATTAAATAAATAAAACTAATAAATAAAAAATACACACATCTTACTGATCTCTGCAGTCAGTAACATTACACATAAAGTGCAAACATAATAGCAATTGTATAAACACACACACAAACACGCCTTTAAAATTTAAAGGCGTGAAATTGGACGGTCTAGTTCAGATTAGCGTCACCGCTGTCTCGGTGGAGTTTAATAAACTCGGCCGTCTGCTTCTTGCTATCTAAAATATAACCAGACACTGGTGTAAATTCTCGACTGTCTCATACTTCTGTTTAATAAGTTTTCTGTTTGACGTTTAGTCAGCTGTGTGAAAACCAAGGAGGAACCCACCCGGGGGATTAATAAAGTTTTATTTTATCTAATCTAATAACTTTAATCTCAGCCAAACCGATTTACTCACGAACAAACAAAACACTGAAAAAAGCCCAACAATAACATTTTTAGGTTGTCTAAGTGACTTATATATTACGTTTAACCCGAGCAGCGAAACTCCGCGGTGATCTGAAAATGATGTGCCGGGAGTTGTGCCGTTCTCGGCCGCATCAGTAACCCTCGAGCTCCCAGCTAGCTGTCGAGCTGGTGGGTAGCAGACGCCTCTGAAAACGTCGAAGCACTTTTGCAAATATGGGATATCTTGATAAACCGAGCAGATATTTGATGTTTACACAACTACTTTCTCGCCTGAAAATATGTTAAAAGTTTATTTTGTGACCCAGAAAGATTAGTATGAGTAATTTTAAAACTTAGTAGCGGCCGCCATTGCTGGAAACTGGAGTTTGGCTGGGCCGCGCTATGAATTCTGGGATATGGTAGTAATTTGGACAGCCTTCGGCGCGTCGCTGTGACGTAATCGGTCTACAAATGCGGCCTCAGGAGGATGCAGCCCATGAATTTGGACATGTCCAGAGTATAATCGCAGCCTTTGCGGTTAGAAAATTGCACTTGATCATGTCGCGATATTATCGCAAATGCGATATATCGTTCAGCCCTAGTGCTTTTGGTTCCATTTGATGCTTGAAACGTGTTTGTTTGTGGGTTTGTTTTATTTTTTATTTTTTAAGAAACTGGTTATCCACTTTGGACAGAAGGGTTGCGGAGAAGAGATGGGGAAACATAATGGCACCTTCACAGTCATCTTGAAGCATTTAGTACAAGCGCGTGTGTGCGGTTGTCCGTGTGGGTTACAGTGCATGTGCACTAGGCCAGCTACAAAGATGCTTATTCAAGCAAAGCAACACTTTATCCAGATGTTCAGAGAGAGGTGTGTAGAATGAAATGCTGGCATGGCTGTTGCAGGATTCGCTCTGGGAAAAATGAGCTGCTCCAGGCTGATGTTTACTCTCATTTCTTACCATCTGCCTGCAGCACACCTGCCTCTAAAAACATCAGTATCCTCATAAAATAGCCAGAGAATATTGATTAAGACTGATGACATTTCTGTCTCCTTTTCACTCAGGCTTGGTAGCAGTATGCTTTCTTTCAAATAAAAGGCCACAAACACGCATGTCCTGTCCTCCTTTAAAGAATCAAGAGTGTCATTGAAATACTTCATTAACGTATTTTCTTTTGTTTCTTAGCCAGGATACATCTTTTATGGCAACTTGTTATAGACCAGCTGTATGAATAGACAGAATTGTGGCAACACAGGTCATCAGCATACTCGACGATGAAAGCTAAAGAGGAAAAAAGCAAAAATATACTTGCTACTAGTTTGAGGGAGTGGTAGCCATCAGATAGTTTTGCTTAAAATGTTCCCGACTGAGTGATCTAGAAGGATCTACGTAGATACCTCAACATCACTGGGACAATTTTACTCTTGTGTAACTGGATACCATTATATTTTAAAATATTGTAATTATTGTTGATTTGCCAGTTTCAAATTGTTAGTGGCCTTGTCGTTCTGCGTCTGTCACATTGCAGTTGGCCGTGCACTGACAGAATGAAGCTCTGCTGGTTTAATTTCTTCGATATCTAATTTAATTGCTCTGTCAATAAGCACTTTTCATAAAAAAGATCAATATATTCTCTTTGACGTAGCGATTTAGTACCTTCTTTAATTTAATAGCTTGCCACTGCAGCAGCTAGAAATAAACTAGTAAGATTAATTGCAGAGTGAAGTATCCATGTAACTGCATATTTGGACTGATAGATTGGCGTACATTAGTGACCCTGCAATAGCTGCAATTACAAATATGCATCGGTTTTCTTATCGTAATTTATTGTGCATCTGTGTTTGTAGCATTGATTTAAAGTTATAATTTGCCACATTGAGGGAAAAAAAAAAAAAAAGATACACTGGCTAATTTTGCTGCTCTGTGAAAAGGTGGTATTGAAAAGCTGCTTAGGAGCAATCAGTCATAATTTACCCCAGGAAGCGTTTAGCCAGTTAAAGGATTTCATTTGAGCGATGTAGAGCCTGCTTAAACCAGTGCACAGGAGGAATTCATTCTTCTCTACTATCAGCTAATGCTAACTGAACCTTTCCCATTCACATGTGAGTATTTTTACCTGTCTGAAGTGGGCTTGTAACCAACAGCTGCCTAGTGCATTTCACTTGGTGCATTTTTTGCTTTCATGTGACCCTCAATAGCAATAACAGATTTTGGGAAATGAATTTCAAAAAAAATGTTTGAGTAACAAGGTCTGCTTATGAGGCTGTGGGGTTTTTTGTGGCTACATTAATGAAAAATGATTAGAATTGAGTGAAGAGCTCAGTTCAAATAAAAGCAATTCAGTTATATTAAAAAAAGCAGTACATCCCATGAAATCTGTCAGCTTGCATTTAACATGTAAAAAAGATGTTTTTTGTGGAGTATTTATCTTTTACACACCTACACATACATTGTCCTCATCATGCACGCAAAATAAAAAAATATGAGTTCACCTTTGAGAAACAATAGTGACTTTTCATGTTTTGTGTCTCCTTTGTTGGTGTTACAGATACTGCAGACAGAAAGTACCAGAAGAGTGAGCCGGGACAGGACGCTGGGTGAAGTGTGACAGGATGTTCAGCCAGTTGTTTATCTCTTTCTAAATGAATAGAAGAGGTTAGTATCACTGTCCTTACAGATGTCACCGTCAAGATTTAGAGTGAGACAGTTATATTTGTGGTCCAGGAAGCACGGACGGGGGAGAGATTGTTCTTTAAATGACATTTTGTGTAAATATTTGGTTCATGCACGCTCCTTGACTGTGACAAGTTTTAACATTGTCGATATTAAAAAAAAAAAAAAATAATGAAATTAACCAACACACTTGATGTGCACTAAAACCTCTTCCACATGCAGATTGGTGCTTAACTGCATTACATGGGCAAATTAAATCTGCTCTTATATCCACTGTGAAAAATGGCCTGGTCTCGCTTGTATGATGAAATTATTAGGCATATCTGTTACAAGTCCCTTTAAGCGCTGCATTTCTCTTCTGAAACATTTTTGATAGCATGGGGAAAGACGGAGCTCTTGGAACTAACTGTTCATTTGCTTGCGTAACAGGTAATTGTGCATCTGTGTGAGGATAAAGTGCTGGCCTTGAGATACTGAAACACACCCCCATGCAGCCCTGTTTTAAGTGCTAGATAATCGCACAGCATTTCAATCCACGGCTGATGTTTAAGGCTGTAACTTATATCACATTGTAGTGCTGCGTAAGATGTTTTTGTATGCTTTTGAACTTTAAACCAGTTATGCAGTGTTTCTCTTTAGAGATTGAATTATTCTCTTTGGCCCTTATTTTTGGTGAAATCTTAAAAGTGTTACTCTTTAGAGTAACACTAAATAAATAATTGATTCAGTACATGGTGTCCATTTAAATCAGTTATTTAAGGAAGTACTGAGAGACCTACATGAAACACTTACATGAAGAACATCTTGTAATATAGTTGCACATATTCTCACAGCCACATGCTAACATGTCATTAGCATGGAAGTGAAGGCACGAAGTTCGACAAAGTAAACGGCACGTGAACACCACAAAACAGTTCACAACAACAAATCTGTCCAGACAGTTAAATCACCCTCACCCAGCTAAAGCCAACTAAAAAAGGCAAAGTGGGCAACGCTAAAGCTAGCCAGCAGCCTCGGTATGAGCAAGGAATCAAAGTGGTTACAAGGGAAATAATGGAGATGAGTAAAAAAAGGCAAAGGGTCGGTGTCTTGTTATCTGGTGTTATAGTTATAAACATGCTGGAAGGTTATGTGAGTAACACACATTTGTGTAATTACATACATTTCTTGCACCTGCTTTTGCTTGGTAAGCTAAAATATGTTATATGATATTTTAGGGCTGGACGGTATAATTTGAAGCATGTGCTGTAATGATCTATATTGCGATATATTCTTTTCTTCTGTATATAGATAGAGTATAGAATGCCATTTTAAGAACATTTATTGTGCAAACGTTTTTTTTGTTTGTTTGTTTTTTAATTACAAAACTTTTAAAATGATTTTGAAGATGTAATAGATCTTTTTTCAAACAATGTAACACAAAATTCTTAAATAACAAATAAAAATGAAGATAAATGCGCAAAAATCTTTGAATAAAAAATACATGTAGAATATCAGTAGAACACTAAATTCTAAGTTGTTTAAAATAAAATGTGCCTTTGGAAAAGATCAGTCTGCCGGTGTGTAGGGCCACCTTTTTTTCTTTCCACTTGACTGACTGGGCGTTTGAGGAGAGCGCAGTTTTTGGCTTTTCTCATATTCCAGAACGTGCTTCGTCTCTTCACTATTACTGTCACCCGGCATAATTTGCAGATGATATTTTTCTGCTTAACATCAAACTGCTTAAACCCAAACCCAGGTGCATGTGACCGACGTTCTTCTTCATGGGCACCTCCTCCTCCCCACGTGTAAGCTCCATGCTTGCAGCGATTGCGATGATTTTGACCAGGCACAGCTTGATAGCAGCGGTATAGTAAAAATCTCTACCGTTGGCCAAATTCATATCATTTCTACTCTATACCGTTTATACCACCCAATTCTATGATATTTGTGCCTTTTTCCAGGAGCAGAGCGCTTTGGCTCTTGTTGAAACAAATATAATCCTGTTAATTATAGCAGTTTTAGGGAATATTTAAAGTTTAATTTATTGTTTTGTTATTATTAATAATATTGTTATGAAAATAAAATGTTGCATTGAAGAAAAGTAGTAGTTATAAATAGGGATGGGTACCGGTTCTGACATAAACGGTAGTAACCAGACCGAAAAGCAGCGCACATTTCGGTGCTTTATTTCGGTGCTTTTTTTTCCTGAGCTGTGATACACTTTAGATTCTAGCCAATCATTTTACGTTTCCGAGGATAGTAGGCGGGGCCAGGTACATACGTTCTGTTAGAGCAGAGCTACAGATTAAAAATGTCCAAGGCGAAGCGGTCAAAAGTCTGGCTGTACTTCACAGCAAAATATGCAAACTCAGCAGCCTGCAACAAGTGCTTTAAGCTGATACTGTGATACTGTCAAAGGAGGTAACACCTCAAATCCGATGAAACACCTGGCGACGCATAGCGTTTTTTATAAAAGCCCAGAAATGCGCCGTATTTGATAGCTTGCTGCGAGACCTCACACCGAGCACATCTACTGCGGGTGGGTTGCCTGTTATGCAACATCCCCCAAAAACACGAAGAGGACAGTCCTGGCCCCTAGCCCTGCCAGTGTAGCAGAAATGATGAAGATGAAGGCAGCAGCAGCCGTTCTTCTCTGCATGAGTAGCTAATTTACGTTGAGTAGGCTAACCACGTTATTACATTAATGCATGTAAGGTGAACTAGCAAACATCATCATAGCTACATGCGGCTGTCCTCTTGTTTGATGGCAGATACTCCCTTCACCCTGGCTAAAAAGGCTAAAATGACCAAAGAAAAAGTGGAAAACAGTTAAACATGAGAGGTTTAGGACAAAGTTTGTGTTTTTTCCATTGTTTAAGCACTGCTTCCAGCCAAGAGTGATACCATATATGCCCCATAGCTGCAGAAAAGGCTAACATTGTTATATTTTTACAAAAAACAGCTGAACATGAGAGGTTTTTGGACCAATTTTGTGTTCTCCATTCTTTAAGCACCGGTTTGAGCACCGGCACCGTTTCAAAAGTACCGATTTGGCACCGGTATCGGATAAAACCTAAACGATACCCATCCCTAGTTATAAATCAGTAACAGAACAGAAGAGAAAAAGTAAAACAGAAGTAGATTTTTTTGTTTTTGTGTGCTGGTAATTATAGTTCTGAGAAAAGAAAATGACAGTTGGCGATCAGCAGGTCACACTTCAATCAGTGCATCTCTTCTTAATATAAGACATACAATGCCATTTCTGCCCATCACTGCTGTCAAGTTATTTGTTCCTCGAAGAAGAAGACCATTAAATAACAGGATAAAATTACAGAAATAAATGATTTATTTATTTTTTTAAATGCTGGCGATGATTTATTTTTTACTTTGAGTTGAAATTACTTGACCCCAATAATCTGCTACAACTGTACACCATAGGTTAGACTTCATTCCCTTATTTTAGATCCCTTTGCTTCTCTGTGTTTAGTAAACCTGCATTTGTTTCTATGGTATTGTAGCACCAGGCATGACCCTGTATTTTTCTTGTCTCCCCTCCATTTGATTAAGAGTTGGCTAAAAATCTCAGCAGACCTTAGTAAAAGCTTTTTAGTAATGACCTGCTTAATCCGCCAAGCAGAGATTAAACACACAGGCGCATTAACTTCAAAGCAGTGCACTCACTTTTCCGCTGCCTCCAAACAAAACGGAATAATTTTGCGTGATGAGGGTTTCAAGGTTTCTCATGTCTGTTTAGAACTGATAGCTGCGATCTACTATTACTGAGTATTTGAAGCGACAGTGATAGGCATACCTTTTCTGGACAGATATTGATATAGGTTTAGGTGAAATGAAGTGTTGTACTCAAGTGACTTCATACTTCTACTTCCTTAACCTCCTAAGAGCCGAACTCTTCCACAGCATGCATTTTAAATTTCTCTTTGATATTTGGGCAATATTGGGGCCAGATGAATGTAAAAACAAAGAATTACCAGATTTTTTTTTTCACCTTATTTTTGTTTTTAATAAAAATAAGAGCCACATATGAGGATATTCATTTAAAATTTTGATAGAACAGTAGCAGTATAATGTCCTCGTAAGTGGATATCAGGTCCTTGTAGAGCAAAATTGAGTATTTTGGTCTAAATAACCCAAAATGTGATGTCCACATATATGGACGCCAGGTCCTAGGAGGTTAAATATTGTTATTCTTGGTAACGAAAAAAAAATACTCTCTTTAAATCAAGCTGTAGACTGTATGTAAAGATGAGTCTGAGCTTGAGGATTTCACCAACCGTCTGGGGTCACCATGAAAGCTACCCGGGTATTCTCACGTGGATGCAGTCTGACATAACAAAGACTTTGCACTAGGGAGTTGGCATGTTAAAGGCTGTTTAATGTCTGATCCGACTAAGTCAGTCATTTGGATTGTCTCATGCCCCTTTACGTTTGTGGTAGCATGATGAGTGCTTTGACCTTGTATAAGTTTAATAGGGGTGGGGGAAAAAATCGATACTGTGTAGTATCGTGATATTTTGTTTGCTAATAATGTATCGATACAGGGACAGCAGAAATCGATATTTTGTTACAAAAAAGGTTTTTGTGCTCAGAGCATGTTGATCCTTTTTTCTGAGGAAGAATCCTGACATTCCTTCACTGTCCAAATGTGTTTAACTTTTTTTTGGCAGCAATAAACATGACAGTTTACTTATTTTACTTTAAGACATGTTTTATTTTAATTTTAAAACTTTTTTTTATTTAATGTAAATATATATTTTGTTTTAATTTACTTTCAAATTCTTCAGTTTCTGAATGGGCTGCATAGTTTTCATAAATTGCATAGTTCAGAATAGCTATAATTGTACCAGATGGTTGCATTCAGTTAAGTTGGACTAGACTGTAAAACAAACCGTTCAGTTTGTCAACAATAAAACTGACTGAAATGAGAGAAAGACTGAGTGCGAGACTTTGATATTAGATAAAATGAATATTGATAAAGTTTA